GCTACACCAGTCGCCCGTGGGTCCGATGCTCCTGCCGCAGCTGCAGAGCCTGTTACTCCTGTATTCCGGGGTGCTTACCTCGGTAGCCACTGAGAGCTTGTGCTGCACCAGTTATCTGAGTCAGCCGCCATGTGACTGCAGCTCCAAACGACGTCTCCTATCTTCTCTCCCCTCACAGTCTCTCCTCCTCCTCACTTGCCCGTTGTGACTACCACTAGCTTTGCTCATAGTTGTGAACTTTAAACTGTTGCTTCTTGAACTTGTGCTCAGAATGTGTGGTGACATTGTGATCCACCCTGAGCTTGTTCTACTTTGCTTGCTCTGCTGATTGCACCCCACTTTGGCTATGGGGGTGTGTCAGAATGTTACTTGTCTAGCCTGCAGTGGGGTACTCAACAGTGAGTACAACCCTTTAGGGTTTCCTACTTGTATCCCAACTCTTGCTAGTTCAACCACCTCATTCTCACAATTCTCCTTCGTATACCACAAACCCTAGTCCTAGGGCACAACCTACTACCTCCTAGTGTGGGCCTAGGCTACTAAGCCTAGGCCCCACTCCTAGTATTCCTGACAGTGCCTACATTTCCACACTTGCTGTAGTCTCTGCTTGTACTGTGATCTGTACATATATATATATATATATATATATATATATGCATGCTGGCTCTTGCTAGGTAGCCATCACTGTACTGTTATTGCTGCATATATATCTCTGCATGTGAACTGGCCCTGTGGCCCTTTGCTTGTGCTCGGAATGTGTGGTGACGTTGTGATCCACCCTGAGCTTGTTTTGCTTCTCTTGACTGGTCGTGTGACCCCTTGTTCTCCCCCACTTTGCCTATGGGGGTGTTTCAAACTATATCTGCTGCATATTATCTAGGCTGTAGTGTGCCCACATGGGGTACAACCCAATTAGGGTTTACTACTTGTACTCCTGCATCCTGTTAGTTCATCCATTCCTGCTGCTAGATTCTAACATTTACAGGTGGGAGGACCAATCTTGATACGAGGTGGCCTTGATATGGGGCCGTAGGAATACGCTCTTATAAATGGACAAAGAACCGTTTAGAAGATACCCCCTTGTTATATAATTGCCCCTAACCCCTACACTTGCTTAATATGTACACACAAATAGGTGTCTTAAAATGGGGCTAGCCTGTTTATAAGAGACACCCGGCTAAAAGACAACCCCTGTCTACTATTCAACACTGTCTACTATCTGGGTGATGACGGGTAATGCGTAGCACGTTATTACACTGATCCTAACTTCTCGACACTGAACAATTAGACAATATCACTTTCCAACACTGGGCAATCAGAATTATGTTTTTCTGGAAAAAAATGCACCCATAATACAGGGGGAAATTCTTTTCCGGATTCAAGGTACCTAAATTTGAAACATCAGCCCTGGTTACGAACTTATTTGATATATCCAAACCTACCGTATGCACCTACACATGATACAACTTTTTTTTTTTTTCACTGATGGTAACTCCACCACCTGGGGTACCCCTTCTTCATGCTAGTTTATGAGGGTAATTCATGTAGATCTAGCACAGGCCTTCAGATTCGTTTGGGGGTACACTGAGGCCTCAGGGCAGTTTTTAGGGAAATCCGATTTTGCCCTGAATTGTCAGGGCTGCACAGGGTGAGGTATCCTGAAATGTCAGTGACAGTGCCACATTTGACCGTATCCTGGAAGGTCAGTGCTACATTTCGTACAAGCGTGTGTATTTTGCGAGTGTTTTGTTAGCGAGCATAGTAATGTTGAATTGTTGGGGCGCACCTGCAAATGGCTAGCAGAGGAAGTCGCCGGCGAATGCATGGTAGAAAACGGAAACAGCATAGTACAACGCGAAGCAGGCCCTCAGAAGTCAGACTTTTTTCTCTGATTTGGTCTTTTTCTCTGATATTTCAGATTTTTTTTCCTGTGTACTCTGATAAAATCAGACTTTTTTGGGCCTCAACTCTGTAATTTTCAGACTTTTTTTAAGGCTAACTCTGAGAGTTCAGAGTTTTCTGAGAGTGTACTCTGATAATTCTGAGTACAAACGCATCCTTGACTGCTGATTCAGACTTACGGGTCACAGCAGATTCGCATTGTCAACGTAAAATCGCATTGACACAGCAAATCCGAGTCTTACAGCACAAGATTTTTGCCCAATCATAGGAAAAATCGCCCTGACACAACAGATTTGACTCCAACAACTTTTTTCGGTCATTTGGGTGTCTAGTGCGCAGCCCTTCTTCGCCAGCTCGCCGAAATTCGCCACGGGCAAAATCGGGACTGTAGTGGGCAGGTGAAGAAATGTAACCAGCTTCTTCAAAATATCTTACGAACGGACGGATGCCAGAATGATAAGCTGTTTGTTCAACGGCTGCGATCAAAATGTGGGCTTGTATCGAGCGTGCAACTGGCTGGTGCTACTTGCAATTGGGCAGGCTGTCGAGCTAGGTGTCATAGTTATATTGTTATAACTGCATGTAGTTGTAGCTTAGTGTAGCAGTACATTAAACTATTGGTGGTATACCTTGCTTCTCTCCTATTTGTACCCACAATTCTATAGTGAACACCCCTTTCCTTTCTACTCTCGATAGTTGCCTAGCACTCAAACCCTAGGCACTACTAAGGTCATTTTAACATGCTATCAGAGCTAGTCCCGGTCTAAGGACCTCGAACTCTTCTAAGGAACATGGGCCCGCCCTTGTCTCAGCGCGAAATGCGAAATTTTTTTTCTGTCTCGTCGACCCGCGGCCCCCGCGTCGCCCCGCGCCGTTTCCTCGCCACGCGGCCCCCCGTTCCCGTCGCCCGCGGCCCCCCGTTCCCGTCGCCCGCGGCCCCCCGTTCCCGTCGCCCGCGGCCTCCCGCTCCCGTCGCCCGCGGCCCCCCCGTTCCCGTCGCCCGCGGCCCCCCGTTCCCGTCGCCCGCGGCCCCCCGTTCCCGTCGCCCGCGGCCCCCCGTTCCCGTCGCCCGCAGCCCGCCCAGCGCCTCGCCAGGCGCCTGCGCGGACGCTAGCGACGAGCGCCAGCGCCACGGCTAGCCGCGCGCGCCAGCGCCTACGCCAGCGCCAGCGCCAACGACTACGCCAGCGCCAGGCGCCAGCGATAGCACCAGCAGCAGCTACCGTCGCCCCCCCCACCCGCCCTTCCTTCCGCGACTTCCGTCGTGGGGAGGGGGGAGGGGGAGACATGGGGTGGCGGGTGTGAATCACCAGCAGGCCGTCCCTCCCTTCCCTCTTCCTCTCTCCCTGCAGCACTTGGTGCTGTAGAGGGGGGGGGAGAGCAGTTGAAGGGGGATGGGAGTAATCTGCTTTATTTCTCTCTCGTTCTTCTCCCTGTCTCTTCCGCTGCATCACTTCTCGCTACTCCTCCTTGTATCCGTCGTATCTGGTCGCCTCCCGCGTGGAAACAGCAGCCACGCATCTGCAGATGCCGCCCACTGCTACCGTGGCACCTACAGCTGCAGCCCCTGACGCCTCGTTCGTCTTCTTTGCTGTTGAGCTGCAAACTAGATGCGCCACAGCACTTTGTCTCCTTTCTCCGTTCGTCTTCTTTGCTGTTGAGCTGCAAACTAGATGCGCCACAGCACTTTGTCTCCTTTCTCTCTTTCTTGCCTCAGGACTTGCTGCAGCTGTCTCTGCCACCACTGCACTGGTTGTCATTGCTCTTGCGTGCTACTGCTTGGTGTATTCCCGCAGGTTGTGTTTTGCAATTGGCTATAACTGCATGCAGTTAAGGGGGGATGTCAAAGTTATATTGTTATAACTGCATGTAGTTGTAGCTTAGTGTAGCAGTACATTAAACTATTGGTGGTATACCTTGCTTCTCTCCTATTTGTACCCACAATTCTATAGTGAACACCCCTTTCCTTTCTACTCTCGATAGTTGCCTAGCACTCAAACCCTAGGCACTACTAAGGTCATTTTAACACTAGGGCAGACCAAATGCGCGTGCACTGGTTGGGCATCGTGTGTACAACAATCTTCGCCCCATCACAGCAAAACCGCCCTGACATTGCAGATTCCCCCATTCGCACCACAAGATTCTCCCTGACACATATGTTCGCCCTGTCAGAGCATGTTTCGATAGAAGATGAATGAAACATTGAAAACACTTCCGATGAAACATTGAATACATTGATTTTGAATGATCAGACTTTTGTTTAGAGGCACTCTGAAATTTCAGCCTTTTTTCTATACCAGGTCTGAGATTTTCAGACTAAAACTGTGTACTAGTCTGACGAATCAGACAGGCCAAAAACGAATCTGAGGGCCTGACGCGAAGTCTCGTAGTGGGGTGAAACGTTGGTCGGTACACAGTAGATCGTATGCTCGATTCGATTCCTACTGGCTCCTATGTCTGAAGGGCTCGCCCGTGTGTATTTTAGGCCCCGAAACCCATGAGATTTTTCGTGCTGTACATCTCGCTTCAGGGCGAGACTCGACACTATTCTGAGTCGTCAGGGCTGAAACTACAGCGTTATCCTGAGTTTCCAGTACGCAAAATAACCATTATACTGATTTTACAGGACAAGTAATTCCCTTATGCTGTTTTTTCAGGAGAAGCACACGACACCTATCCTGAATTCACGAGAGTCAAGGTATATTATCCCGATATCCGAGGGCCTGATCTAGCAGGATGTCACGCATTCCCCTCGCGAGCTGACGGCAAGCAGCAACTTTGTCATTGCCAATCAGGGCCCAAAATTGGTTTTGGCCCACCCTGTCAAATCAGAGTTCCAGGGTGGGCCAACCCTGACTCCTATGGTAAAAAATCTGGTACACTGATGGAAACAGGGTAAAGAAGCAACTCAAAAACAGGTCCACAGCTGGGCAAAGCAGCAGCAAGATCTGGCACAGGTATCAGCAGCAACTCACGACCACAGAAGTCAGCTACAGTGCGTCACTCGACATTCCTTCCTAATGTCTGCTACTGTGGTTATCACCTACCTGCCTTCCCCATCGTACTTTCGCTCCTTCTCAGATGCATCAAGCCTCCATTCATCTCCCACCACTCACAACCTGCTCCCCATCCCCCCCACTAGTCTCCTTGTCCTCCTCCACACTCTCTTCCCCCAGCAACTCCCGCCATAATCCTCGCACCACACGCACCACATCCTCTGAGTCAGGCCTCTCCGCAGGGTCCCTGGCCCAGCACGCCTCAATCAGCCGCCTCAGCCCCTCAGGACACCCAGCAGGTATCGCCGGGCGCAGCCCATTCAGTGCCACTGCCACTGCAGCCTGCAGAGGCGAGTAACTCTCGTAGGGTAACCGCGCAGTCAGCAGCTCCCATAGAACAATTCCAAAGCTGTAGACGTCGCTGCGAGGGGTGACGGACCAGTGTCCCGTGGTGCCGAAGGCCTCAGGGGCCATCCAGCGGTATGTGCCCACCTCCTTGGTCATCTCTGCTCCGTCTCCCACCAGCCGTGCCACTCCAAAGTCCCCCACCACTGCCCGACCCTGCTCGTCCAGTAGCACATTGGCCGTCTTGAGGTCGCTGGGGAGAGGGTGAGGGGGATATGGGAGTGGTGGAGACAGGAGGATTGGCTGTGGGAATGGGTGATGTGTGAGAGGAGAGGAAGGAGGGTAGGAGTGGAGAGAGTGGCGAAGCAAAAACTGGATGAGGTGGGGGGACGGACGTCATTGATGAGCCACAAGATCAAGGGCACGAATTAATACTCGACCGAACGAACCACGAGTGACCCCAGCCAAGATCACATATTCTCTGGCTTCCCTCTCCCGGCCATCACACACACACCCCACCCCACCCGTTCATCACTCCCGCTCACCGGTGAATGATCCCATGGCGGTGCAGAAACCGCATCCCCAGAGCAATATCCATCGCGACACGCAGCAGCTGCGGCAGCGGCAGGCCCACGCCGTTGCGCCTCCTCAGCAGGTCGTGCAGCGTGCCGCCCGGCATGAGCTTGGTGACGATGCACATGCGGCGCCGCACATCCACACACACGCCGTAGAAGCGCAGCAGCTGCGGGCACCGTTGCCCACACGACACCATCGCCATCACCTCTCTCCGGAACTCTGCCCGCGCTGTCGCACCGCTGCTGCCGGCAGCTCTGTCACCGCTGCTGCCGGTGATGCTGGGGCCTGAAACGCCTGGGAACTCACTGCAACTGGCAGCACCAGACGAAGCAACAGCAGTAGTGGCAGTCAGAGCAGCAGAGGCAGTTGCGCTGGCTCCCCACTTCCGACCTCCCCTCCCTCTCCCACCTCCCCGCCCACCACCCACACCCGCAACCCCGCCTGCTCCGACCCCACCTCCCATTCCCGCCCCAACCCCTGCCACGGCTCCATCTCTCCTGGCCTCCGCCTTGAGAATCTTCACAGCCACGGGCTCGCCCGCGTACCTGCCTCGGCGCACCTCCCCCGAGGCACCCGTTGCAATGAGCGGGCCGAGGTCAAGGCGCAGAGGGTCGAGCAGGAAGTGGCCCAGCTGCTCCCTCATGAGGCCCCGCTCTGATAGTAACAGCTGCACGAGACCTGCAGGGGGAAGGGGAGGAGAGAGGGGGGGGAGGAGGAAGTGGGGCTGACAAGCCGAGGTCGAGGGGCAGAGGGTTGAGAAGGAAGTGGCCCAGCTGCTCCCTCATGACGCCCCGCTCTGATAGTAGCAGCTGCACGAGACCTGTGGGGGGAAGGGGAGGAAAGAAGGATGGTTAGGAAGGCGGAGAGGGGCGGAGTGAGAGGGAGAAGATGGATGAGGAGAGGGAGGAAGTGAAGCGAGGGAGGAATGTGGGAGGGGGAGGAAGAGGGGGGTACAGGAGGCAGCAGGATTGATGAGATTTAAGGCATGGGGGTGATAACGCTAGTGATCTTCTGGTGCAGCAGCAGTGTTAGCAGGCGCTAGAGCTACAGCAGCAGACGAGCAGCAAGCAGGAGCAACCTGTGGCGATCCATTTCCGCCCCACACATGTGCCTGCCTCTCAAACAGGAGAAGTGGGATGCAGCAAGGTGCAGTGGGGTTGCAGGGTGGAGAGGCCACATACAGTCAGAGTCGTGTGTGAGAATGTGTGTGCACTGTCACACAAACAGCAGTATGCAAGGATCTGAGATGGTCGCCTTTGCCCACCTTATGCAAGGACACGCACTCACCTTGTTCACTCCTGTTGCCCTCCCTGCCCGCCGTTGCTCCATTTCCCCCATCAGCATCACAGGCACCCACCACTGCTGCTACTGCTGCCACAGCTCCTGCTGCTGCTCCTCCTCTCACTGCTGTTGCTCCATCCGTCGCTGATCTCAACCCTTTGCCTGCGTCTGCAGACGTCCTAACTGCTCCTGGAACCCCCATCCCCACCTCTCCCCCTCCTTTTTCCCCTCCCTTCCAACTCCCAGCCTGCCTACCTCCACCTGCACCACTCTCACCACACCCATGCTGCAGTGTAGACGCATCCCCATATCCACCCTCCCTCGTGCTATCCTTACACCCACGCCCTCCGCTCACCACAGCTCCTGCTGCCACTACACGGCCCACACCTTCATCGCCCACACGGCCCTCTCTACTACCCACTCGCGCATCACCCACTGGGGTGTTCAGTGATAGAGCTGGAAGCTCCTGCGAGGCAGTGCCAAGCACACAGGGAGATGCGGGCACTGCCAAAGCTGATTCTGGAAGTGCAGCTGCTGATGCTGCTGATGTTGTTGCAACACCCGTTGCTGCCGCTCCTGCTGTCGCTGTCACTGCTGCTATCTCTGCAACAGCCTGTGATGCCTTGCTACAATCCACTTGCTTGCTATCGTTTGCAGATGCGAACTCACTAGCACCACCAGCACCACCAATGCTGCTGCTGCGACTGCCACTGCTACTGCCACCGCTTTTGCTGCTGGTACTCCCAACACCCCAGCTACCACTGAAGCCTCTACTGCTGCTGCTACCGATGCTCATGCTGCTGCTGCTCATGCCGTTGCTGCTGCTATTGCCTGTGCGGGAAGACCAGCTGGAACTGCCCCTGCCTAGGAAGGACAGCGGGCCTCTTCTCTGTACACTACTGGCAGGCACAGCAGGCACAGCAGCACTTACACTGGCGGACGCTGCTGTACCTGCAGCAGCAGCAGCGGCGGGTGCTTCTGCATATCTGGAGTGGGCAGTATCAGGAGCAGCGTTACCATCAGCAACAGCTGTACAGGCAGCGGCAGCAGCAGCCATGTCAGTCAAATTTGGCTCTACACTTTCCGCAACACCAGTGCCTGGTGCTACCACAGGTGTCTCCTCTCTCTCTGATTCCAACGCATTTCTTCCCCCTTCTCTCCGTTCGACCCCCACCTCCTCCTCCTCCCACACTGAGAACACCCCTCTCCCCCAGCTGAACCCGCCCCGCCCACTCCCCCCGCTGCAAGTGCTGCCCGTGCAGCCGTCCCCCTGCGACCCATACGCCCCTTGAGGCGACCAAACCCCGCTGCTGCCCCTCCTGCCGCTCCCTTGCTGCCCTGACCAGCGCCAGAGGGAAGAGAGAGAGAGCGCAGATGCAGAGCCACGCATCCCTCCCATGCCCACTCCCAACCGTAGGCTGCTGCCACTGCCACTGCCGCCGCCGCCTCCTCCCCTGCTGCTGCTGCTGCCGCTCCTGCCATGCCTACCACGTGTAGTGCTGCTGGTGTCACAAGCTGCTGCATCTCCCACATCCGCCCGGTCTGACTCTGCTCCCCTTCCTCCTCCCTCTCTTCCTCGTATGCCTGGGGCTGCACCAGTTTCTGCTAGCCTTGCTGTGACTTGCGCAGTGGAAGCTTCTGCAGCAGCAGTAGCAGCAGCAGCGATTGCAGTGGAGAGTGTGTCCTGCCAGGCAGGCCCGACTGGCAGCAGCAGGGACGTCATGCCAAGGGTGCAGCCTGCAGGGCGTGTGGTCCAGGTGAGCAGAGGCATGCACATGCGAGTCTGCACTGATACACACGGGGATGCCTCTGCGCCTTGCTGCTGCTGCCTCTGCTGTTGCTGCTGCTGCTGCTGTTGCTGCTGCTTGCCATTCCCTTCACTCCCATTGTTCCCCTCAGTCCCCTGCTTCGCCTGCACGTTGTGCTGATCTGATTGCGCGCTGGGCGAAGGCGCAAGCTCAACCCCATGCACTGCTCGTGACAGGGCAGTGAGCAGCAGAGGGTAGCACACGTGCAGGCTGCAGGCAAAGCGCACATCCACATGCACTAGCGATGCTCCACACTGCCCTGCTGCTCCACCTGACGCCTCTGCGGCTGTTGCACCTGGTGCCAGTGGTGCTGCTGCCGCTGGTGCTGCTGATGCTGCTGCTGACAACACACCTGACTCTCCTCCTGCTCCTGCAGCTGACGAATCTCGACTGGGCGATACCACTGCTGCTGCTTCACAACTATCCCCTCCCGTGTCCGCTGCACATCCGTCTGCACGCGTCACTCCCTCCCTCGCCTCACCTGCTCCTTTCTCCCCGACCTCCCTACTGTTCCCTCCCTTACCCCAATCGCCTGCTTCCACACCCAGACAACCTGGTACTGCCGGACCTGCTGCAGCACTACCACCTTCACAGCTATCGCCTCGCACTGCTGCCACTTCCCCTTGCACCTGCTGCTTCGACCCTGACCCAGGCATGAACACTGCCCCACTCACTGCCGCCCCACTCACTGCCGCCCCACTCACTGCCGCCCCACTCACCGCCACCCCAGGCGCAGCATACCCCTGCCATGAGAAGAACAGCCCACCATCGTTACCGCCACCATCGCCATTCAACCCCGCACTGCCACTGGCAGCACCCCTTCCCGTCACACCACGCGCGCCACTGAAACTGTCACCACTCCCTGGTGCCCTATCAACAGACGCAGTGTCAGCTCCGAGAGCAGCAACAGCAGCACCTGCCTTGGCCCCTCCAGTGGTAATGCTGCGGTTATTGATGCTGCCTGCAGCATCGCCACCCATGAGACGTCTACAGGACTCACTATAGCCACTGCCACTGCCACTGCCACTGCCACTGCCACTGCCACTGCCACTGCCGCTGCCACTGCCAGCAGCAGCAGCAGTGGCAGCAGCAGGGCCGTAGTGTGCGCGCAGCGTGACTACCACAGGCGGCTTGCAGGCGGGCAGGCGTGCAGCAGAGGCGAGAAGGTCCCTGTGGAGCACCACTTCCCATGGGGACAGCTCCACTGCCGCACTCGCATAGCTGCGAGGGGAGGGGAGGGCGAGAGGGAAGTGTGGGATTGGGTGGAGTATGGGTGGGGTCAGAGGTGGTGGGAGAGGAGAGTGTGTGGGCGTATGTGCGAGCATTGAGTAAACACGTCATTGGGTATGCTACCTTGCTGCATTGGGACCGCGGAGACTGGCAGGCACGAGGCGACAAGTGCGAGCACGGCAGACGAGGGGGTAACGCGGCACACTCACGAGAGCGGGAGGCTGTGGAAGTGTGCTTGCAACGACTCCACCAGTCCCGCGCTCACCGCTCCCACGCCTCCGCCCACCCGCTCTGCTTCCACCGCCTTCGCGCCATCCCAACGCCCATCCTTCCCATCCTTCCCACCGCTCCCACCGCTCCCACCGCTGCCACAGCTCCCGCCGCTCCCACCGCTGCCACAGCTCCCGCCGCTCCCACCGCTGCCACAGCTCCCGCCGCTCCCACCGCTGCCACAGCTCCCACCGCTCCCGCCGTTCCCACCACTCCCGCCGCTGCCATAGCTCCCGCCGATGCCACTGGTTGCTCCCCCGCTGCTCCTCAGCCGCTCCACCACCAACTCCCATGCCGCCTCCTTCACCCGCGCATCATGAAAGCTGCCCTCCCGCATCCTCCCCCCCCGCACCCGCCCTTCCCCCACCCGCCCCTCCATCTCCGCCTCCATCGCTTCCGCCTCCGGCGCTTCTCCCCGCGCGGCTGCCGTCCCGCTTCCGCCGCTGCTACCGCCCCGTGGCAGCCAGCCCTTCCCCGCGCCCGCGTTCCTCCCCTTGCTGCTCCGCGGCCACAGGGCCCCCAGCGCAGCGGGTAACCCGCTCCGCCCCGCCGCCCTGCGCTGCGCCCAGCTTCCCCCGCCCCCCAAGCCTCCCCCGATGCTCCCCCCAAAACTGCTGCTCGAGCTAGTCGTGGACCTTGGGCTCAGGTTCGGGCTTAAACTCGCGCTGGGGCTCCACAACGAGCTGGGTCGGGAGCTGTGGCTCGGGCCGAGGCTGGGCGTGGGGCTCGGCAGAGGGCTGACGCTGGGGCAGGGACTGAGGCGGGGATCTTCGGGAGGGCGGAAAGGCGAGGAGAGAGGGGAGAGCCATGAGGGGGGCACTGTGACGCCGGCAGGACTCACGCTGGGGAAGTATGATGGCAGCGGGAAGGCAGGCGAGCTTTCCGCAGTGTTGGGATGATCATTGCTTCCCGGCGTCACCAGCCACTGGCAGCTGGCGCACGTGGGGCACTCCGCGGAGCGCGCGAGGGGAAGCCATGACGTCGTGGCCAAGGGCGATACTAGCGGCGGGATCGATTTCGCCGCCGCTGGTGCTCCAGTCGTTGTTGCACCTGCCAGGGGTGCTACTGACTGGGGTAACAGCAGCACTCGAGGCCCATCGCTGCTCACAGTAGTGACAGACGTGCTACTGCTGCCACTGCCGCTGCTGATGCCGCTGCTGATCGCACTGCTGAGTGCGTCGCTGTCTGCGGTGGCGGCGAGTGTAGCTGTGCTGGTGGTCCGGGACAGGGAGGGTGGATCCGTGGCGCTGTTACAGCTCGTAGCGCTGGCACATGCAGTTACCAAGCCATGGCGCATGGTGCTACCGTTGCCGTCGGCAGGGGACGACGACGCTCCGGCGTAGAATTCCGTATGCATCCGACTCGGATCCGGCCCTCGCAGCCTGTCGCGGGACGTAATGGCGTCGGTTTGCTACGCTAGCGACGTCCCGTGCTAAGGCACCCTTCTAGGCCACGGATCTCGGTTACCATGTTACCGGACGTTCACGAGATTCGCGCAACGACTTGATCTACGCGAAGGCGAGCACACAGACGCTGCGGAGACACGGTCAGCCGCCCACAGATAAGGAAGGCACAAAGAGAATTCCGAGCACAACGCACATCGTCATGAGATAATCTCGACAAGGCGGTCCGACGAGTCGTCGCGAACTTCCCCTGACTTTTTTAGAAACACTCTCAGCGGGATGAAATCACGAGTGGTATGTGATGAGTGAAGAATCAAACGGACACAACAGCAGTTCATCTTGATTGGTGGAGGAGCACGCTCACTGGACCCAGCCCAACTTCACGAAGATGATTTTCCTGGCAAATCCCCCTCACCGCCGACAATAAGGGCGCGTTCCTGGCTAGTGTCAAACTTCCGGTCTTCCCGGGATGACACGAACCTCGCCCCACGGCTCGCCCCACTTCGGGTCTTCCCTCAAAAATTTGCCCCTGGCTCGGAAAACACGAAGAGCCGAAAGTTTGACACGCGCCAGGAACGGGCCCTAAAACATGCTGTTGCACTTGTTTCCAGTTTGCGGGTGAAAACTCTCCTAACAGCTCTCTCGGCCCTCTCGCATAGCCCTAAACCAACGTTTTTGCACTAATTTTCCTGTAAGTGTGAAGCCCTCCCAGCAGAGCGACAGGGTCACGAAATTTGCACTTGTTTCCCTTCCACTCCCTGTGTTTTCCCAGTAGCGGCGTCATTCACAAAAAGATATGTTGGCCCCGCTCGGCGGATCTTTTTTATTTTCAAAGTGGTGAGGGTGCAACCCCGGTCGAGGAGGTACATTCCACAAGATTCTTTCGCCGCAAGCAACTGATGAGCCTGAACCAATGGAAGGAGGCCAATGAATGTAGCTTACGTGGTGGCGCGCAGTATAGATGGACGTAATATGAGGAAATCGGAATGAAATGTGCTTTCCGGAGCGCGATGCGATATCGGACACAGAAACGGAAGTCGAGTTCATTTGGGCGATGTGCCAAACCATCTGCACCCCATAGCTAGGCCAAACTACATTACAAAGAGAACTAAGGGCCTGGCCTCTTGATATCAGGGTAAAACACCCTTATGGCCCTTACTATAAGGGTGGGTTTAGGTGATCACCCTTGTTTTTAAAAGTTGTTTTATGACACACCCTTAGTTGTTTTACTAGTGTCGTGTACCACCCTGACGCGATTTGACCGGGGGGGGTACTGACGCGATTTGGGCCGTGATTAGCGGCGTTTTGCCTGAGTCAGCAGATGTGCGCGGCGCCACTGCCACTTGTTAAACTGTATTATGCTTGTAGGCTGTAGTGGGGTAGCCAATATGGGGTACAACCCCAACTAGGGTTTCATATTTGTACCCAAACTTCTGCTAGTTCATTCATTCTTGCCTAGTTATTCTGAAATGGTATTCAGAGCAGGAGGTCCCTAGGACCTACCGACCGTTTTTTTTTAAGGGCCCACCACCGCTCGCATGCGGTTACCACGCTACCCCGTGCCCTAGCCTCGTAGCGCCCTCGTGCGCCCTCGTTAGCGCCCTCGCGCGCCCCTCGTTAGCGCCCTCGCGCGCCCCTCGTTAGCGCCCTCGCGCACCCTCGTTAGCGCCCTCGCGCGCCCCTCGTTAGCGCCCTCGCGCGCCCCTTGCTAGCGCCCTCGCGCGCCCCTCGCTAGCGCCCTCGCGCGCCCCTCGCAGTGTCGCCCGCCCGCCGAGCCGCCCGCTCGCAGCGTCGCCCGCCCGCCACGCTGCCCGCTCGCCCCTCGCCCGCCGCGCTGCCTGCTCGCAGCGTCGCCCGCTCGCCCCGCTGCCCGCTTCGCAGCCCGCTCGCCCCGCTGCCCGCTTCGCAGCCCGCCCGCCCGCTCGCTGCCCGCTTCGCGGCCCGCCCGCTTCGCTGCCCGCTCGCAGCGCCGCCCGCCCGCCCGCTACCTGCTTCGCAGCGTCGCCCGCCCGCTTGCTGCCCGCTCGCAGCGTCGCCCGCCCGCCCGCTGCCCGCTTCGCAGCGTCGCCCGCTCGCTCGCTGCCCGCTCGCAGCGTCGCCCGCCCGCCCGCTGCCCGCTTGCAGCGTCGCCCGCCTCGCCTGCTGCTTCCTGCCTGTGCACCGCCGCTTGCTCCTGCTGTGGCTGCTAGCTTCGCTCTAGCGCGTCCCCTCTGCTGCTGCCGCTGCTCTGCTGTGCCCTCACGCCTGAGCTATGGCCTCTATTCGCGTTCTTTCCTTCGATGCTGAGGGCCGTCCCGTGCAGTTTACTTCCTGGCTCGACGACCTGCAGTTGTATCTTATGAGCAATAGCACGGACCACATCTCCCTCTATGACTACGCGTCTGGTGCTGCCGCTGCTCCTGCTGCCACAGCCGAGCTTAGTGTACGTTCACAGTGGCAGACTCGTGACGCTGCAGCTCGCCTGGCTATTCGCAGTCACCTGCCGTTAGCTGAGCTAGAGCACTTTGGTGACTGCAAAACCGCTAAAGCCCTATACGACGCTGTCGTTGCTCGCTACTCCTCACCTGCCACAGCCGAGCTTAGCCGTCTCATGCTGCCTTACCTGTTCCCTGACCTGTCCACCTTTGCTACAGTCGCCGATCTTATCACCCACCTTCGCACTAGTGATGCTCGCCTGCGTGCCGCCCTTCCCACCGAGTTCTGCGCTAAGAACCCCCCTCCCCTGTACTGGGCACTCCACTTCATAGTCACCCGTCTCCCTGACACCCTCAGCTCAGTGCGCGACTATTTCCTTGCTCGCTGTCCCACTGAGCTCACTGTCGCCCTCCTAGAGGAGAAGCTGCTAGCAGCCGAGAAGAGCATTGTAGCTGTTGGTGCTGCTCGCGGCGCTCCTCGCACCCCCATCTTTGAGGGGTGCTCTCCCTCTCCCCTCGCTCCCTCCTATGCTACTGCTGCTGCTGTTGACTTCCTTGGTGCTGAGTCTGCTGGCGCTGCTTCTGCTCCTGGTGGGAGGCGCCGCACCGGCAAGGGCAAGGGGGGCAAGGGTGGCGGGGGTGGCGCTGGGGGGGGAGGGGGTGGGGGAGGTGGGGGGGGAGGCGGTGCTGGAGGGAGCGGTGGCGGGAGTGCCGGTGGGAGTGGGGCCGGCGGCGGAGGCGGGGGCGGCGGCGGGAGCAGTGGCGGTGGTGGCAGCGGCGGCAGTGGCGGCGGTGGCGGCAGTGGCGGTGGCGGTGGCGGTGGTGGCGGTCGGAGCGGAGGTAGTGGCGGCGGTGGAGGTCGGAGTGGAGGCACCGGCTCGGGCCAGAGCTCCCAGCAGCAGCAGCGTCCCCAGTCGACCCAGCAGCTTCGTGAGTGGCTTGCTCAGCGTGGGACGTCGGGGGGCAGTGGCCGCTGTTCCTATGTCATTCGCACAGGTGATCGCAAGGGGCAGACGTGTGGAAAGTTCCACACTCAGTTTCGCTGCTTCTTCCGCCTTGACGACGCTTGGCGTGAGGAGATGGGCGAGGATGTTGAGCGCCCTCGCTGGGCTGAGCTGATGAGGGCTGGTGTTGATATCTTTGCTCTTGACTATGATGCTATTATTGCTGCCATGTATGCATTGACTGTTAGTGCCGAGGGAGACTGTTACTTGTGTGTGCCGCCTGACCCAGGTATAGGGCCCGCTGCCCTAGGTACTAGTGAGTCTGCTCTCTCTGGTATGGTGCCCCCTGTACCTGCTCCCTCCAGCACTGTCCCTGCTGCTTGCGAGTCTGCTCTCTCAGGTACAGCACCCACAGAGACTGCTCTCTCAGGTACTGCACCGGCTGAGACCTGTCACACCTTCACCCTTGACTCAGGTGCTTCCCGCTGCTTCTTTCGAGACAGTACTGAGCTCACACCGCTTCCTGCACCGGTCCCAGTCTCCTTGGCTGACCCCTCTGGGGGCCCAGTCCTTGCC